ATAGGTGTTCCACAGAATTCTGTGGATTCTGTAGGACTCCACAGAAGGATGTGGGCTTGTTTATTTTTAGAATTCCCTCATATAAACATATTAACATTTTATCTACTCAAGTACTACCTCTGCTACTTATTCCTTATCTATCTACTTTAAAAGGGAAACTTACTTATTCTGATACTTATGAGTATTCTATAAACTAATAATGAAGTTCCTCCTTAGAAGGCTGACTTGTCAGTCATATTAAATCAACATGAAAAACAATGACATCCAACAAAAACTTTAGATTCAAGCCTTAATAGGTATGCAAATAGCCCATGATAGAAAAAAAAACCCTGGAGCATGATTATAAAATATGGGAACTATGGTTCAAATGTCACAAAAAAGTCCTTTGGATTTTTTTCTTTTTTTTTTTTTTGAGACAGGGTCTCACTTTGTAGTTCGGGCTGGCCTCAAACTCACAGCAATCCTCCTGCCTTAGCCTCCCAAGTGCTGAGACTACAGGCATGCACCACCATGTCTGGCTCTTTGGAAATATTTTTAAGGAAGAGACAAGAGTGTGGGATGGAAGAGCAGCAGAATCCATACCCAGAGGACTTGTCAGCCAGATTCACATACTTCAAGATCTTGCAATGCCCACAGACAGGATATTTTTGAACCGCTTATGCTTCTTACACCAATAATGCTTTAGAAGAATTATTTTTCTTCTTTCTGTAGTAGCAAAAACTAATGTCAGGTAATAGAACCTAGATCAGTGTTAAATAAAACTCAAATCTACTGTGAGATTCCCATTTCTCACTGTAGTTCTATTATCATGATGATTTCAATTTCAGGTTGCTACCATAAAGTAAGTACAAAACTGGAACATCTTCTAATATAAAAGCCAAATGGTTACTACTTTTAACCTTGTTTGGATTTTTTGGAGGACGAGTGGTCTGAGACATGGTCTTGCTATGTAATCCAGGCTGGCCCTGGACTCTCTCATAGCCCAGGCTAGTTTTAAACCCTTCGTCTTTCTGCCTCGGCCTCTCAAGTGTTGGGATTACACACATGCACCACCAGGCCGGGCTTGATCTCGATTTAAGTGCGTGAATTGCATAAAGACATTTCTGGGAGCATTTTAATATGAAGAATTTAGGTAATTAGTTGCTGGGGTTATTTTTTTTTTTAAAAGAAGTCTTTATTTCTTGTAAATTCTGAGATATTTACAGAAAAATTTAATATCTGAGATTTGCTTCAAAACATTGCAGCAGGTGAGTGTAAAATGTTGATAAGTGCCTAAATTGAATAGTAAGTACATAGGGGTTCATTATTCTATTTTTTCTACTTTCGTGTAATGTTTTAAAACTTCTAAAACAAAAAGTAAAAAAGAAAAATCATGAAAAGGCCACTGTCAGAGAAGTCTCATTCAACTGATGTCTTCAATAGTTAATAGATTTTTCTCTAAAAATGAAATCATAAGGGCCGGGGATTTAGCTCAGTGGTTCTGGTGCCTGCCTTGCAAGCTCAAGGTTCTGAGTTCAATCCCCAGTACCAAAAAAAAAAAAAAAATAGTAAAATAAAATAAAATCATAAGTTCCAAACTGTACACCTGGGAATATCCTTAAACAACGTCACCATGATATTCACAAACAAAATATAACAGCTTATCCTATGTGGGTAAATTATATTATTTGTTCTATAATTTAAAACATCTGTATTCCTAAAGTATAAGAAGGAAAAGCCCTTTATATGTATATTTTTTTCTTGATTTGAAGTTAGGAGTTCCTTCCCTTGAATAGTGGAGAATATTCAGGGTTTTTGCTGTAAGCTTACTATGTGTCACATATTGATCTAAATACTTTATATTTATGAGCTCATGCTATTCTTCACAATTTCCCATTGATAAGTATGACCATTCTTCTCATTTCACAAATAAGAAAACTACCATACTGAGAATTTATATAATGTGCCCAATATTGGACTATTGATTAATAGCAAAGCATAGGGCAACTGGATCCAGTGTCTGATCCCTTAATCACTGAGTTCTGTCACTTACCATAGAAAGAGCATCTTTTGTGGAATTATTTCTTTATTTAGACTTTGGAGTCCCAGGCTCTTTTGTTCTTAGAAAAATAAAGCAACTCTTACTGACTTTGATATCAGCATATTCCTTTTATTTGTCATGTACTTCAAACCTATTACTCCCAACATAGTCATACAAGCCCTACAATGTTCAAACATATTTATTACAGATGTTTGTTTATGGCATGATTTCAAAGAACAGAATACATCAGAGTAAGCTCTTCTGGGTGATTTAAACCAGGACAATTTTGAGAGATAGCTCTGATATTATGGTAGTTGACAATGACTTCTCTCTTTTGTGAGTGTCAGCTTCTGGGAAATAGTCTTACATGATTTTCCCTGATCACCTAATTTTCTCAGGTCTTTAGCAAATTCTTTGCAGCCCAGAAAGCTGATATTACTGCTCCCATATTGGTAAAGTTAATAATGGAATTCTCTTTTCAGATACATGGCTTAATCGAGGAAAAATTTATTTTTAATTTGCCTATGGACTATACCATAATAACCTTCAAATAGGGTGATGTTTAATTTGGAAGACTTTTTGTCTTCAAGAGTATTTGAAAACTACTGGTACCTGCTCCTCAAGACCAGACACTTTGATTTGAATAAATGTGGTGAACTTGGTCTTTGTGAGAAACGTTTAAAGAGCAATAGAGTGCTAGTTGGACTTGTACTGGCAAAAATATTCTCTAATCTGATGTTCTCATCATACGTGAAAAGAACTCAAATAACTTCTGAATTTGATTGTGACAGCATGAAGATGGGTGTGGAGAATAAAGACCTAGCTCATTCATTTACTATTTATTCAGTGGACTAACAGATACTTATGTAGCCTTTATTCAGCAAATATGGGATGCAGTGGTACACAAAATGATTAAAGCGGCATGATAGGGCCCCCCTCTGAAATCCTCTTTGTAGGCCTCAAGTTTCAACCTATGTTAATACCAAGAACAATTGGGTTAATAGGGAGGGGGAGGAAGGAACACAGAAACAGAGAGACTGAATTGATCATGAGGACCAATCAGTCTACTGGTTAATTTTGGAACCTAAGAAGACAAAAAAGATCACCTATTTTTTGTTTTATAGATGAGTAATTTTAAACGCAGAGCCTATAATAGTGTAATTATTCAGGACAGAGCTATAAGACCCAGATGGTTGACCTTTTATAATACTGTCTATGTTCATGTAAAAATTTCAGCAGATTTTTTTCCATACCAAGTTTATGAAAGAAAATAATCTCCTAGAAAGAGCCTTCCTAAAAGAAAAGGACCAACTTCTCCTGTTGAGCTAATCCTAGTGTGAAATTAACTAGCAGCCCCAATAATCAATTCCACACTGCTGCCCTGTAGGGAGAGCAGCTAGAATAAAGGAAAGTAAGTCTTGGTTCATTTCCTCCCTAACTACAGTTGTTCTAAGATCAAATATTTAGAATATTGGAAGGAAATGTCAAGAAAGGACAATTGTGAATGTGAAGAACTGAGAAAGCAAGACCTAAAAATTAAACCAAAGAGAAAAATTAGAATAAAATATTATGGTTATATATACTTTTCCACACCCCTTTAAAAGCTAACCTACACGAAGAAAAGTGTAGTCGATAATATTCCTAGTGATAAGAGAAATGCAGATCTTTACAAAAGTGAGATTTCATTTTATACCCACTTACTAGAAATTTTCAGAAGTTTGACAATTTTGAGTATTGACAGGGTATGATCAACAGAATCTCTACTAGTGGAGGTATAAATTGGTAGAGCCACTTTATAACGCTGTTTGGTGTAATCTGTTAAACTTGAATATTTACAAACCCTATAATCCCATCATTCCAATGCTAGATAGAATCTCTTGCTATGTGCATCTGGAGGCATTAGTGAACCTGTATGTGACACCATTGTTGTAACAGAATAAAATCTGGAAGCAACCCAAATATCCAGTGACAAGTGAACGGACAGAGTGTGGTATATTCACACAATGAATTTTTTTTTTTTTTTGGTACCGGGGATCGAACTCAGGACCTTGCGCTTGCAAAGGAGGTGGCAGAACTGCTGAGCTAAATCCCCAGCCCTCACACAATGAATTTTATACAGAAGTGAAAACAAATGATGTAGCCGGGAGTGGTGGTATATGCCTGTGATCCCAGCACTCAGGAGGCTGAGGTAAGAGGATCACCATGAGTTTGAGGCCAACCTGGGCTACACAGTGAGTTCAAGGCCAGCCTGCACTACAAAGCGAGACCTTGTCTCAAAAACAACTGCTACTATATACAATGATATGGCTAAACTTCAGCAAAATAATGTTGAGTAAATTAAAAAGCTCACAGAAAATTGGCACTTTCTTTGTAAGTTAAAAATAAGTTAAATGGGCTGGGGATTTAGCTCAGTGGCACACCTGCCTTGAAAGCACAAGGTCCTGAATTTGATCCCCGGTACCAAAAAAAAAACAACAACAAACAAACACCACAGCTAAATAACGTAGTTATACATATAAATTAAATGATACTAAAAATAGTGGCAATGATAAGTACAAGATTCAGGATAAAGACAACTTCATGTTGGGAAAATAAGGGATAGAAAAAGACCACATAGAAGTAAACTATGATCAATATTCTACTTCTTGTGTTACTTGTGGAGTCACTTTATATATTACATTATACAAAGATTAATGGCTGCCAGGGAGTTAGCTCAGTGGCACTGCACCTGCCTTGCAAGTACAAGGTCCTGAGTTCGATACCTAGTACCAAAAAAATGTCAGCCAGGAATTTAGCTCAGGGTTCCACCTCCTGCCTTGAAAGCACAAGGCCCTGAGTTTGATCCCCTGTACCAAAAAAAAAGTCAAAGATTAATGGCTAATTGCCTTAGTTATTTATTGCAGCATAACAAATTATCTTACAGTGTACCAACTTATATATTTCTGTGGTGTCTAGGGTCAGGAATTTGGGTGCATCTTACCTGCGAGGTTTTGGCTTTAGCTTAGGGTCCCTCATGAGGTTACAGTCAAGTTTGCAGTCAGGAATGTAGATCCCCGAAGGAGCTGGAAGATCTACTTCTGACATGGCTCATTCATAAGGCTGTTTGCTTGAAGCTTTGTCTTCACTATGTGGGTCAAGACTGCTCATGACATGTCTTCTCACAGAGCTAGCAATAGGAGAGACAGAGATAGAGAGTGAGCAAGAGAACACCCAAGATCAAAGGTACAATACAATAATATGGATAAAGGTACAGGTACAATAATATGGAAGGCGGCATACCACCATTTCTGCTGGATACTATTGATCACAAAGACTGACCCTGGGACATTGTGAAGGGGACTGAGGATGTCACTATCGGGAGGTAGGGATCATTCAATTCTATGATACAACAAAAAAGAATAATGTGTAGCCCAAGATGAAACAGAACCAAGAAAAAATTGAACCTAAGGTTGGAAACTAAATAAATAAGTAAAATGCACTCCAATTTGAAAGTGACAGGACATGGGGAGGAATGAGATAAGTCAGCTTTAATTCTGGCTTTTTCATTTTCCAACTTCTATGACTTTGGGCAAGTCATTTGACTTCCTTCTATTTGGAAAATAAGGATGAGCTTATTGACTTGCTTCTTTATACACAAAATAGAATACTCTAATGAATACCATTTGCCCAGGACCTAGAATCTACAACTTTCTAGTTTGTTTGATGGTACTGGGGAATTGAACCCAGGGCCTCACGGGTTCCAACCAAGTATTCTACCACTGAACTACACCCCAAGCCTCTAACTTCCTAGATGTTAGCATATTTGTTTCACCTGTTTTTCCCTTCCTGAAATGTCTTCAAGGAAACTCCTGACATTGCTATTTTATCCTGATATATTTTAGTAAGTATCACTTAAAATATTGACATTTTCTTATAAATTTATACATAAAATTAATAATTCCTTTTCAATATCCAATCTATTAAAATTATATCCAAATGTCTTTGAGTTTCTCAAAACTTTTTCCAATTGGCTTGTTAGAATGAGTTTAAACAAATCTACACATTATATTTTGTTTGTTATCTTTTTAAATCTTTCAATTTAGAGGAGTCCTTTTATTTCCTTTTTACTCCCTTATCTTGTTGAAGAAACCCAGGCAGTTTGTTTGTAGACTATGCTACAGGTTGGATTTACCTGTTAGCTTTTTTTTTTTTGGTACCAGGGATCGAACTTGGGTCCTCCAGCTTGCAAGGCAAGCGACGGAACCACTGAGCTAAATCCCCGGCCCAGCTTTCTTTTGATGACATTTTATTCCCACTTTTGCTTCTAGAAGACTGGAAGTTGGTCCTAAAACCTTGTTGAGATTTAGATTCAATTATTCTAGTTAAAATATTTTGTAAATGAAGCCAGGTATGGTGGAGCACACCTGGGATCCCAGGACTCAAGAGGCTGAGGAAGGAGGATCACCACGAGGTCAAGCCGCAACTCACTATGTACTGAACTCACTATGACCTTGTTTCAAAAAACAAAAAAATTTTTTTAATAGATGATGTTGTATACTTCATAATGCACCACATCAGGAGGCGCAACTGTGTGCAGTCTCCATTTCCAGCAGTGCTGGGATTGATTAAGGTGAGGTCTGTCTGAAGCCTGTATTGTAAAGTCCCCCATCAATTAATCCATAAGGAATTATAAAATGGTAATTTCCTAATTCTACTGGTTTTTTTTTATTCAATAGAATTATTTTCATTAAAGAAAAACTTCCCGGGCAGAGGATTTAGCTCAGTGGTTTCACCGCCTGCTGCACAAGTGCAAGGACCCAAGCTCGATCCCCGGTACCAAAAATAAATAAATAAATAAATAAATAAAAATTAAAAATTAAAAAAAACTTCCCCTCACCAACTCACCAACCTAGATAATTTGGCTACCCCATTAGAAAAGCCTTGTTCTGTACTTCACACCCTCTCGGGCCGTCTTTCACTGTAGTCATTGCAGCAGCATGCTGCTTCCTCCAGTGTAACCCGCCAGCACCTCTCCTCAAATCCACTGAATATATTTTTCTGACCTCCACCCTGATTCCTCTGTTCCATGAGGGTGAAATATCTGCACTCACAAGTAACAGCTTGGAGATGTGTGGAAGCTGAGGTCCCAAGACAGAAACTTGGACCAGTGGGATATGGGGGCTGGTAAATAAGCGCTCTTCTCTTGCTGCAGCAAGCTAACAATTATGGAGTACAGTGTACATTCTGCATAGCTCCAAGGCCGCATTGCTACGGTGATGACCAATTTGAGAACACCGTTGTATTGACTTACCTTGTTTCACTTTCCCTAGCCATCCACTGCTGTTTCCTGCGATCACTGTCCAAAATCAACTACCTAAAAAGTAAGCCCTTGTCTCAGGTTTAGTTTCCAAGGGGCAAGCCAGGCTAAGACACCATTAAATCTAATTCATACAGGAAAGGCAGGATAAGTATTCAATTCTTTAGTTATATTGAAAATATTCAGAGTCTTGCCTAGTTACGACTATAAACTCCTAGGTTTATATGTAACCAGTGCATTTCAGTCAGTTGTAGTTCTTACTCTTTTTGATGCTCATACTATGCCCCTTTCAGCCAGTGAGAGTCTTTTTATGCTGACCCCTTTGTACCTTTGAACTGTCACATTAGACTTTAAACTTTTAATAGAGTATCCTCAATGTCTAGTGCAAGATGTACTAGGGTCAACACAGCCTGAAATCTGCCATTCCTCCAAGGAGCCTCATTCCTTTTCATAGGAAAATGATGTATTAAAAGTACAATATGATGCTAAAATTGCTTACTACTATAAGATTTTCATTACCTCTAGGTCTTTTCAAGGGACAATGAAAACAAATACTTCTCTTTTTGCAATAAATATAAAACTTTTCTTATTGAGATATAAGAAATTGTTTTTGAAAAGAAAAAATCTTAAGCTCACATTATTTTGAATTCAACTTTAATATTACATGGATGAAAACCATTGTTCCTAATAACTCTAATATTTATTTTTACCTATATCATACAGAAATAGATTTAAATTACAGTAATAGCATCTATAGTTCTATTAGCAGTAAGACTCTTCAATAAAGCTTAAGATTTTTTGTTGGTCTATTTATCTTGAGAATATATTCTAGTGTGAATGAACTTTACTTTCTTGACATTTATTTATTTGATGTGATCATGCTATCAACTTAATATATGGATAGACTGCTTTGGTTTATTTTCAAATTTTATGAATTGCATTTTTTGGATTTAAAATTATATTTTGAATGTGCAATACATACATATATATATATATATATATATATATATAAAACATGATTCTATAGACATAGACAATGTTTATTCAGAATAGTCTAGCTTACATGTTCATCTCCTCTACCTGTTTTTTCCTGTCCCAAATACAGGCAAGTATATATTCATAGTTCACCTAGCTTACAGAAAAAAAAGCTTACTATACTTTCTGTACCATGTGAGTGAGTGTGTTTGTCTATTTTAGAGCTAATATGTATCCTGGAGATCATTCTACAAGATGTAAAGAGATGGCTCTGTTTGTTTGTTTGTTTTTCCAGAGTTGCACAGTGTGTTTCATTATGTGGATCTACCCTGATTTATTCCACCATTTCCTGACTATGGTTTTTTGGATTGTTCCCAGTCATTTGCTATTATAAATAGTACTGCAATGAATAACTTTGTACATAAACCATCTTGTATTTTGGAATAGCTTCTAGAATTGGGATTTCTGTGTCAAAAAGCAAATGCATGTGTAATTTCATTAGCAATTATCCAATTCCCATGCATAGGTTCTGGGTAGCACTTTGCATTCTCAACAGCACGATGTGCCATCCCTGTTCCCCACAGCCTCCCAACCAAATGAGTGGTCAAACATTTGGACTTTTGCTAATCTGATTACTTCTATCATTCTGTTCCATGACATAGTAAGATGCTTTCATCTGCTTTTGGAAGAACCCATTCAGGATAAACAATAGGTGATTGTGTTGAAGGTGGCAGGAAGAGAGTGGCTGTTGTATTTCTATTTCCGTTCTCCTAATCATGGAAATGCCAAAGTCCACAGCATCACTATCCTAGCTAAGACCTTGTATTTCCAAAAGTTGGCTTGGGTTTTCAGCCAAATATAAGAGGACATCTGTTATGGCTTGTGTTTGGGTATCCCCCTCACACACCAAAAGAAGCCTGATGCTTTTAGAGAGGTGGGTGAATCTAGAGTGTGTGACTGATTCATGGTGGGGCTAGGCCCGAGGGCACTAGGAATAAGGGCATGAGTGCTACCCACCCAAAGTAGTCTGAATAAGATAAAAGGGGCAGAAAGATGCTATGAAGGCCCATGGCTGCTTTGCTACCATTGGTCTGGTATGCCATGAACTGCTGCCCCTCTGCCATGTGCCACCCTGCCTTGGAGCCAGCTGAATATAAAGTGAAACCTCTACAAACTGAGCTAAATAAACCTTTCCAACTTTAATTTTGGGTGTTAGGTATTTTGTCTCAGCAATGAGAGAAAAGTAACTAAGACAACATCAAATATGACCTCACTTTTTTTTTTTTTTTGCTGTACCGGGGATTGAACTCAGGACCTTGCACTTTCCAGGGAGGCATGTGCCACTGAGATACATCCCCAGCCCAACCTCACCTCTTTTCAAGGTCAGCAGAATGCAAAGAGGCAGGGAAGCACAATCCCTTTACTGAGAAAAAAAACCCTGAGAAAGGTGGAGAAGGAATCATGACCATCTTTTGTCAGCTTGTTGCCTCTGGAACAATTCCAGGGTCAAGGGGAAGTCCCTGTGAATCCCTGGAGGTTTCTACAGACTATGGAATGACCACAATCCTAGCAGGCTTCTTACATTTAGGATCTTTTTTTGCTGCTTTGTAGGAGTAAATATCATGGATGGGCATTATTTTTTCTTTCAGGATTTTTCATATTCCAGTGGGCTGTTTTGCCCTCCTAGGGCAATGTTTGGAATCAAATCTGGTTGTCATGTTTAGAAGAGATACTTTTGGCATCTAGTGGGTAGAAGTGAGGGATGCTGCTAAACATCTTACAATAATCAGGAAGCCTCCCTGCTACTCCCAATAAATAATTATCTGGTCCAAAATGTCAATAGTATTGAGGTTTGAAACCATCCTGTATTCCTACTTTATGGACACAGTCACAGATATCCTTAAAATAACTAATATCAGTGGTAAAGGGAGGGCAGAATCACAGATACTGCCCCTTCCTGCTTCTCCAAAAGTCACTAGCAATTTGGAAGTCTCTTTGACCATGAAGATTGAAGGAATTATATATTTAACTGAAAGATTAAAGAACAAATAGCATTTTAACCTTCTAAAAACTAATTATCATTAAGTATAATGCAAGCTTTTAACTGCAAGTATAAAGGGAAGTGCTGATTATTTAAGGTAAATGGGACCAAAAGTCCCATGAATAATCAAAAACTTGGTTAATAGAGTATGACCAGAGAATAATGCACTTGGTTTCTGTGGAGAAATTAAAGTACATGCTGTGAATTAGTATTAAGGAAATAGCATGAAAAGTTACTCTTAAGGTACCATGATTCTGAAGAAACAGCCTCAGGTGCCCAATATATCACATTCAGTCTTTATCTCTCTTTGGATTGTCACTTCTTTTACCTTGGATAATTCGGAAGCTCAGGCCTTGAAACTTTTTGGAATGGTAAAGTAACTCACTCTCCACATTTATTTTCATCTAGGAACAGACTTGAATTTTATTGCCAGTTTATTTCTTTTACAGACATTATTTTCGAACTTCTGCTTACCTCACTGGTTTTCAGGGCAGAGAATGTTTTTAGTATCTTTAAGCATAATTCACCTTACATGTACCCTAAACAGTTATACCTAAATTGAATTTTTTGTGAAAATAGAATTTTTTTTTTTTTTTGGTACCGGGGATCGAACTCGAGTCCTTGAGCTTGCGCAGCAGGCGGCGAAACCACTGAGCTAAATCCCTGGCCCTAGAATTTTTAATTGCAAGAGAAATTCACCAAAGGGAGTCTGAAGCTAAATATTTTGCAGAATAAAGCATCTTGTTTGGAGACTTATCTGGTTGTCTCAATTCGGAAGGGGTACTTCTGGCATCTAGTGAGTCAAATATTAAGTCTAGTCAGCCAAATATAATAGGACATCAAAAAAAGTGAACAATTCCTCATTAATTTGCCCTTTTTCTAAGTCCTATTTTGTTGTTGTCAATTGTTTTGTTTCTTGAGACTGGGTCTCACCATGTTGCCCGGCTTGATGCCCAACTGCTGGGCTCAAGCAACCCTCTTTCCTCAGCCTCCCAAGAAGCTGGGACCAGATTCGAGCTACCACACAATTTTTATACATAGACCAAAAGTCTAGTCCAATATTATGCAAAAGAATTTTTAAAATCAACCATAAATTTGGGAAGACTTTGAAATCTGCAATTTTAGAAGCTATTTGTATTAAGATTTAATAATACATTCTTTATTATCATCAAGGGTTTATTAACACTTGTTTTGGGTGATGAGATAGGCCAGACATACCTGAAGAAAATAAGTAGCATTACTGAAATAATCACATTGACTGCTTTTCTTAGCAGTAAAGAGAAAAGAATAAGTGGTAGCCTATTATTAGATACGTAATGTTGTGGTAAAAAAAATCAGATTGTCTGGGTTCACACACTTGCCTACTGTGGTCAATCGGCAATTTACACAAACAGGCTGTACCTCAATTTCCTCATACAAACGAGGAACACTAACTAGTGTTATTTGCTTAAGATGGTTGTTTTGAGGATTAAATGAGCTAATATGTGAAAAGCACGGGGGCTAGTGATTTAGTCTGGAATCCTGGGTGGTGAGTGGAGCCCCAAGAACAGGCATAAGAGAAAAATTAGAGGCGAGGGACGGGGGCCAGGGAAGAGGCCACGTTTCATTCTATCCCTCACCCTTTCGAAGGAGGCACTGCTGGTTCTGCCCCGACTACACAGAGACAGATGGAGGCTCCGAGTCGAGGTCAGTGATTTGAACAAGGAAGCGAGAGCGTCCGCAGAAAAGTGCCCTCTTCTACCAGCCGGGCGCTGAGGACACCGAGGGCTCAGCCCACTGCGGACCCGGCGTTCATCGCCCACAGCGCAGGCCGCCAGGCAGCCGGAGAAGCAGCCGCCCTCACGCCGGTCCAGTGCCACAGGATGGGACAGCGACGAGGGGCTTCCGGGCAGCTAGTCTTCGGCGGGACGCCCTTCTCGTGGGCAGACATCGACCTCGCCCAGGAGTAAATGCTGGATTACGCCCATTCTGTGCTGGGCACCGGGAATACTAATGAACTTCACACTCCAGGCGCAGCGGGTGCAGGCCGCATCCACATTGTAGCTTTTCGACCGCCGAACCTATCAGGCCGGGAAGAGCCGCAGCCTTACCCTGCCCCTCGCCTTCCGGAGTCCGCCCACAGAGCTCCGCCCCTTCGGAAGTCCTAGGCTCCGCCGTAAAGTTGGGGGGGTTCTTTGCCACTCAACATACAGCCCGCCTCCTTCTTTACGGCAGGCCGCATTCCACGCCTCCAATATGGCGTCCCCCGTATAGACTGTAGTGGAGGTTTCTACTCCAGGTGGCGGGGCCAGTGCAGAGCCGGGGTTACGGTCCATTCAGCCCGGGCTTCAGAAAGCAGCAGATAAAGTTCGTTTGGGGTTACGGTTCAGGAAGGAACCGTCCTCTGAGGGACAAGAACCGCCGCTTCCATTTAGTTCCTGCGAGTTCTTTCTTGGTCCCTGGTTTCTTTCCCGAGGCATCTCTGATAACCCAGGTCCTTGACACTCTCAGACTCAGACTATGAATCTTCGGCAGCCGCTGATGCGCTTGCCCCGTTATCTCGGGGTCTTGGGTCCCCTACGTCGCTCGTGGTGGTTCCCGTCCCTCAACACCATCTCCGCTCTGGGCTCCTGGCGTGGTCATTCCTCCAAGTCCCCGACCCACTGGAACCAGGTGGTGTCAGAGGCGGAGAAGATCGTGGGCTATCCCACATCCTTTATGAGCCTCCGCTGCCTGCTGAGCGACGAGCTCAGCAACATCGCTATGCAGGTGAGGAAGCTGGTGGGGACTCAGCACCCTCTACTTACTACTGCCAGGTGAGCGACACCCTCTCCCTCCGACTCATCCGACCCACTCAAGTCTTCTCCCGGCCAGCGAACCCACTCTGCTTCGCTCAGACTAGCTTCCTGCCAATCTTTTATCTCTTTCTACCGTCCGCCCTCCTAGACGTTGCTTTTCTGCACTTTAGTCCACGTACTCTTCATGGACTTGCTCAGCCGAGTGGATAAATGGTTTTCTTATGAAGAGCACTTGTGCGCTTTTCGAGATTTTGCTTAACTGTTGAAAGTGAAGATGCTTCAGTGATTTGTGGAGAAATGGAGCAGGGATGTAGGTGTATTGAGTCACTGTATAGATGCGGCCTTTATAAGTGAGATAGATTTTTGATTCCGCACTATTCAGAATCATATCCAGAAAGAGTAGAGAGGGAGAAACGACCTGACAGTTAACAGTTCTTTCCAACGAATGTTTAGACTTGAAGTAGGAATTTATCCAGGCAGTAGTCATTATCCTTTTGATACTTTTATCACTTGTGCTGGACTACTGCTGTGAAACGTGCCATTAACGTTATAAACTCCATTTCCAATAAACAAAAAAACTGCACCTTTTGATTTATAATCAATTTAAAACATACAGAAAAATTGCAAGAATAAAAGTAGAATGTACCTGTATACCCTTTAATCAGATTCACATGTACACTACTCATGTGGATGTGTGTGTGTATGTTTGTATGTATATATATATATATATATATTTTTGGGGGGGATCACTTGCTAGATTGCATATATTACAGTCCTTTACACTGAATTCTTAAGTATGTATTTCCTAAGCATAGGGATATTTTCTTACATAGCTGTAGTACAGTTATCAATTTAGCTACTTTTAATATTGATACAATACTTTTAATCTTTACCATGTGGTACAGAATCCAGACTAGGATCAGGTATTGCATTTAGTTGTTATCTCTAGACTCCTTCAATCAGAATACTTCTGTGACTCTCCTTGGCCTTTAGGACTAGAGCAGTTTTTCTCAACTTGGGCAGTTTTGCCTTCTAGAGGACGTATGGCAATGTGTGAAGACATTTCTGGTTATCACAGATGAGAACGGGTAGAGGGCTGGAGTGCTGCCCTACAATTCCCAAGTCAGCCTCACAAGAAAAACTTTTGTTTCAAAATGTCAGTACTGTCCGTAAGGAGAAACACAGGACAGAAGCCATCTTTCTTTTTCTATTTTCTATTCAACTTTTATGTATTGTTTTTCTTTTGAGAAGGGCCCTGTTATGCAGTTCAGGCTGGCCTTGAACTCACTATGTAGCCCAGGCTGGCCTCAAATTTGCAGCAATCCTCCTGCCTCAGCCTCCTGAGTGCTGGGATTACAGGTGTATGCCACCAAGCCTGGCTTAAATTTTTTATTTTTATATAACTATGTTCACAGGCAGAAGAAAATAGTAATGTGGAGATCCAATATAGTCAGGATCCCCCAAATGGTAACATCTCAGTAAAAGTATAGTCTAATACTAAAAGCAGGATATTGATATTGGAACAGTCAAGATGCAAAACATTTTCATGACAACAAAGATCCTTTTTGTTGCCCTTTTTAACCACACTCACTGTCCTTGCCCACCCCATTTTTTATTAAACACCTGTTATTTTCTTATTATATGTTTCCAAATAGCAATAATAAAGTAATTTTATTTAACATTGTTTCTAATTATCAGATATGTCACTTTATGATTGTGCTAAATTTGTTTTGTAGCTAGAATGCTCTCTAGAGATTCTAAGTGATAAATATACCCAGAACATACAGTCCTGTGATATATGTATATATGTATTCATATGTATTTATTGTCATCATGGGAATTGAACCTGGGGCCTTCACACTGAGCTATATCCTCAAACCTTTAAAATTTTATTTATTCATTTATTATAGACAGAGTCTCACTAAGTTGCCCAAGCTGGGGTTGAACTTCTGATCCTCTTGCCTCAGCCTCCCAAGTCTCTGGGATAACAGGCCACCAAGTCTGGCAATATGTGTATATTTTAAAGCTTAATAGTGAAACCAAAGAGCCTACTATACTACCTAATTTTAGAACTATAACTTTGCCTATCCTGTTGAAGTATCTTGTGTACTCCCTAGACCAGTGATGGCAAACCTTTTAGAGCTTTCAATGATACAGCCTGCTGTGGCATGCATGTCATAGGTTTGACACCATTGTAGCCCCTCTCCCTGACTTCTCTATACTGATTTTTGTTGTTGAATTTTCCTTTTTTAGTCATATAAGTGTTTTCCAAAATAATAACATGTTTAATTTTGCTAATTCTTTTCTTTGAAATTTACAAACATGGTGATTTGTTGCATATGGCTTTCTATGACTTATGTTTCATTTGTCATTGTTTCTGAGATTCATCCATGTTGTGTATATTACTATATTTCATTAGTTATTCACTGGTATATGGAATTCTATTTTGTAAATATATTGCAGCATTTGGAGTGTTTGTATTTTTTGGTATTGTTAAAAATACTGCCATGAATATGTTCATATATATCACTTGGTGTACAAATCTTGTTGAATATAATTTTCTTTTTTTTGAGACAGGGTCTCACTATGTAGTTCAGGTTGACCTTGATCTCGTGGCAATCCTCCTGCCTTAGTCTCCCAAGTACAGGGATTACAGATGTGTGCCATGACACCCAGTTAACTGTTTCTTTTAGGAGATATGGTCTGATAATATACAGGGGATAACTTCAGTTCCTTTGCACTTATTTAAACATGTTCTGTGAGTGAGTATGTAATCTATTTTGGAGAATGACCCGTGTGCAGCTGAAAAGAATGTATATTCTGATTTTGTGTGGTGGAACACTCCGTAAACATTTGTTAAGTTCATTTGTTCAAGAGTTTGTTTGAATTCTAGTATTTCATTGCTTATTTTTTGTCTAGTTGATCTATTTGTGACAGTGGGATATTGAGGTCCCCCACTACTGTTGTATTAGTGCTTATTTGATTTTTCATGTCCGTTAGTATTTGTTTTATATAGTTGGGCACACTAGTATTTGGTGCATGTATATTTATGATTGTCATCTCTTCCTCTTGGATCGTTGCCTTTACAAGAATGTAGTGTCCTTCTTTGTCTCTCTTAATCAGTGTTGGTTTGAAATCTATTTGATCTGCAAAGAGGATAGCTACACCTGCTTTTTTTCAGGTTCCCGTTGCATGGAGTATTGTTTTCCATCCTTTAACTTTCAGTCTATGAGTTTCTTTTTGAATTAAGTGTGTTTTTTGTATGCAGCATATTGTTTTATCTTGCTTCTTGACCCATTCTGCCAGTCTGTTTCTTTTGATTGGTGAATTGAGACCACTGACATTGATGGTTATAACTGATATGTATTGACTTATCATTGTCATGACTTTTTCTTTTTGTTGGATTCTCCCCCTTTGCTTTAATTTCTTGTCGTGCCTGACAGATTCATTCTGCTGAGCTTCTTGGGGTTGTGATCCTCGTTGTCTTTTCCTAGGATATTGTCTAAAAGTTTTTGGAGTGCTGGTTTAGTATTTGTGAAGTTCCTAAGGTGCTGATTGTCATGAAAGTATCTTATTTCTCCATCCATTTTGAAAGATAGTTTTGCAGGGTACATCAATCTGGGTTGGAGGCTGTTTTCCTTTAGGGCTTGAAATACATCACTCCAAGCTCCTCTTGCCCAGAGTATTTGTGTTGAGAAGTCTGCTGTGATTCTGATGGACTTTCCTTTGTATGTAATTTGTTTCTTTTCTCTCACTGCTTGTAGAATTTTGTTCTTCTGTTGGGTTTTTGGAATCTTAACTATTATATGCCTATGTGTAGATTTTTTTTTTGATCAAGGCTAGTTGGAGTCCTATATGCCTCACTTATCTGTGTGTCAAGTTCTTTTCCCCTGCTTGGGAAATTTTCTGCCATCACTTCTGTGAAAAGTTTTTTATGTCATCTGCACTCTCTCCTGTTTCTTCATTGACTCCAGTCAGTCTTATGTTATTCTTCTTTGCATCTTCTAGCAGCTGCTGGATTGATTTCTTGTGGTCCCTTACTATTTTAAAGCATTTTTTCTTTTCCTGGTCACTAATTTCAGTCTTATCTTCTACATCTGAAATTCTGTCCTCACATTGGTTCATTGTGCTGCGTAAACTTTCAATGGAGTTTTTAATCTCCTGGAAATCTGTTTGCATCTGTTTTATGGATTCCATTTGTTTCCTATGTTGGGATTCCATCATGTTCCTCAACTCCTCTATTTTTTTATGTGTCCTCTCTAGATTTATTAATCGTGTCTTGCACAATGGGCACAATCTGTGCTGTTATCTGAGAAATTATTTCTGATTTCATTTTTTCCAGATCCTCTTTTGTTGCCAGTTCAGGAAGTCCAGGTGGTTGAGTATTAGATTGTTCCATCTCGTTTCCCTTTGGGGTTGCTTTAGGTGATCTGGAAGTCTGGTTTTTGAGACTTGTTTACGTGTCTTCTCATTTCAACAGGGTGTGTGCTGCTGGCACCTGTTTGGCTCACCTTCTCAGCTCTGGGGGCAGCTCTGCTCCACTGTACTGGGGGCAGTGGTACGGTGGTCTGGAAGACTCCTCCTCGGCCCTGGAGGTGGCTCTGCTCCTCTGTGCTGGGGGTGGTGGTATGGCATCCCCAAAGGCTCCTCAGCACTGGGGGCAGCTCTGTTCGCTTGGGGCAGTGGTCTCTTTTAGGAGATAATACCAAATTCTTTCCCAAGGTGGTTGTATCTATTTACGCTATGACATGCATTTTCTGGGTTTAGGTTACTCCATGTTTTGAGAACACTAGAACCATGAGCTTTCTTAAGTTTTGCTAATCATGAAGGAGGTTTCTTTCTCTTTCGTGGGAATGATAGTGTCAGGGATGAGGTTATAGCAGTGTAGTGTATTGTGAGTGTTGTAATCCCTCTAATAAAGCATTGACATGAAATAGTAGAGCTAAAGAATTTATTAATGTGTGAATAATTGCAGTTCAATATCTACTTATAGCCAGAGCATCAGGTGAAGACTTGGA